GTATGCTCTCTTTCCCAGCATTACACACAGAGACTATCTGACAATAAGAAGGTGAACAAATCTTTGTTTCTTTTAAAGTTCTGCTTTGTTACATCAATTTTCACAATAATTTTTGGTAATATAATCAGCCACAAAAGTGCAATGTTTATTCAAAATATTGAAATAACAGCTTCCATAATTTAAAAGATTTTATTATTTTTTAAAGCAAGCAAAGTGGCAATGTTACTTTGCAAGTGTCAAACATTGCCTCCTCCATATATTTTAATGATAATTGAATTTATGAAAGGGTATTATGGGAGGGAAATATGAAAAGACAAACTGAATCAAGTTAACTACTAGTTAATTTGTGAATAAGTCTGAATTATTAAAATTATGGAAAAAATAAAATCATGTAGTACATTAAATGGTTTTAATGATTGAGCAACTGACAAAAAGCCCAAGGTCCTTTGGCCCAAGCAACATGAATAGTGTGCTAACTCTCAGGAATTGAGTTTAAATGCCAGGTTGAAGAAAAAAGTTCCTGTTTATAAACACTTCTGCATATTCATGTAGTATTTTAATATTGTGTAACTATTACAAATAATGTGAAGAAGTATGAACTGTTGTAGCACCAGTAGTTTTATTTTATTATCAGTTGAAAATCAGCGAGGCAGTGTTTACATATGTGAGAGGTGGATAGGTAACAAAAGCACACAAATATGCTACAGAACAGATTTCTTTTTATTATTATTAATCTTTGGTGTTTGAAAATTTAAATTCACTTTATAGGGATAACTCAAATTAATGAAGTTTCGACCATGAGATTCAGCTGCTTCACAATACACCACACACTTACAGCAACTTTAGGTTACACTGTAACCAAATGCAAACAATTATTGTATATAATGTTTCTAATAGAAGTAGCTAACTAGGGGAACACAGCCAGCAAATAAATTTTTAGTACTGACCACACTACTTAACTTTTTATAAGTTAGGACAATGATTCACCCCTGGCAATGTTACCCCAAACTACCTTAATAATAACAAGCATTAAACACGCATTGTCACAAAAAGAGATAGAAAAGAACATAGATAAGCTTTACCTCAAACAAAAGAAAAATACAATTATCAGACAAAACATATTAAATTTGCAATTACAAACTTTCTCATGATAAATGGACATAGTCATTAATTCAATTCATTGGCACAATGAAACGTTTCAACTTAACATTTAGCAAACAAGACAACACACCTGTGATAGAAATTCAAAACAAAATAGTGTCCTCAATGTACTTCACCAAAATATTCTTTATGAGCATTGGAATGACTATTGAAGTAGCAGGTGTAGATGTAAACACAATGAAAGGAAACAAAAATCATAGGCATTTATAGAACCCCAAATTTGAGCATTAATGATTTTCTAGTCAGGTTGGAAAAACTTTTAACTAAACTTATAGGAAACAACAATTGTAAGTTAATTATTTTGTGAGATCTGAACATTAATATTGAACATAACGAACTACATGATTTACTAAAGAGCTTCAATCTTTATGATGTAGAATTAGGGCCAACACGTATTACAACCCAGCCCAGCTCTACCATAGACCACATTACATAGACCATCATTACAAACATTGAAATGTATAAATACTCTTCTCATAATATTGATTTTCATCTATCTGATCACACGGCACAAATCATTGAAATAATCAATTGCCCCATTAGCCTGGAACTAGCTAAATACACATTCACCCGTGACACATGTGATACTAAACTACATTTGTTAAATGAATGTCTCCTAAAAGAATGGACTGAAGTATACAATAGTAGCGATATCAATGAGAAATGGAACTTATTCCTGAGTATATAAAATCATCCCTTGAATATTGTATGTCCCATTATTAAGGGGCAAATTAATGTAGAAAAAAAAAAAAAACAAATTAAGCTTCCGAATGAAATTCTTGTTCTTAGAAATAAAATAAAAAACATGCATGACCTGTTCAGAGGTACTAAGAACCCGTTTTATAATGAAAAGTAAAAACAATATAAAAGACAATATAGGATAAAACTGATGAATGAGAAAGATAATCAATTAAATAATAAAGTTAACAACTCAACAAATAAATCTAAAACATTATGAAATACAATGAACAATGGGAAAATTCAGTCTCACAAAAACATACACCTCCTACATGAAGGCATGTTTTTTGATAATCCTTCTGATATTTGTAGAACCTTTAACTGTCATTTCTTAAATTCAAAGCAGAATATTGTAACCAATAGTACTATTAATTCCTTATCTTCTGGTACTTCAAAATCCATGTTTCTCCATCACGCAAATGCTACTGAAGTTAATCAATTGATAAATTTCTTCAAAAATAGTTTCTCAACTGGGAATGATGAAAGATCTTCAATAATTCTTAAAAACAAAGGGAAAAGAAACAGTAAGATGCACTGATATTCCTTTATTTAGAATGAAACTGAAATAGGTAACGCTATGACATGAAAAAAGATAAAAAATAGGAAAAACCTCTATATTGTCAGTTCTTTCTAATAAAGAAAAGGCATACAATAAAGAAGTCAGTTGCTTAGTTAACAAGCTCAGGACTGAAAAGAGAGGCAGAAAGCCTTCTTATATCTGCACATGACCAAACATCAAAACATAGTATTATCAAAAGCATATACCTAAAATTTATGTTGATTGCCAATGTAGAAATTGTCATAAAAAGGAATAACACATAATTGAAATTGAAGTTGAGGGCACTACAGTAGCTGCAACAAAATACATCTAATGACATAATAAAGTGGCAATCTCTTTGCATTGGGCAATGACTAAGGAGCTTGATACATCAGTACCAGAAAACTGATATGAACATGTACCAAAGAAGGCAATTGAAATGGAAGATATTACAGTGCTGAATTACATGCCTATCTTCACCTCCCTACAATGGCAAACTGAGCAGACATAATATATTAGGCCAATGAAAGGACAATATTTATTTGCTTGTATATCTTGCTATCCTGAATAATTCATATTTTTTAGTCAATGAGGTGGAAAAGTTAAGCATGAGAACTTTAATACAGGAATTGCTATAATATTGAACATTAACACATGTGTCACCCTCAATTGTTGCAGGCACAGTGAGAATAAATAAAAAAGGTGCTCAGAGTGCTTGAAGGCTATCCTGCAGAGAAATCATACCACAAATACAAAAACAGTTTCATTATTAAGGACAGCTCATGACTTCGATTTGAAATCAGATACAAATGTTGAGAGAATGCCAGCAGCACATAAGAATTGACAATTATCACAATCACCACCATCATCATTCCTCTACTTCTAATAACGTAAAATAAGTCAATTTGCTCTAGCATTACATTATTACACAGTCATTCTTATAGAAATGAACTATATAAAATATTACAATATATCTTTTGCACCTGCTTACAATTATTGACATGTGTATCTTTACATTATCTCACTTATGCACATACAATACTTATGCATAGGTTTAGTATTTTAATTGTGAGATTATATGTAATACATTTTTCATTATATCATGTATAACATTATATTGTTATATTGCATATTACTTTATAATACATTTTCCTTTAAGAATTCTCTTTTTACAAACATAATACTTTGGTATACATTCAGATTAGGTAAGGATAGAAATTGATACAATATGAAGGGTAGTCTGTGTTTGGCTGCATAATTTGCTATTGTCCTTACAATTCTCTTCTGAAGTTTGAATGTCCAGTGTGCTACTGGACATACTCCTAGAATTCTATAGCAAAGAATTCTGAAAATATTGTCATAGTAAATCAAAAACATTAAAGTCAGTGATAGATAGAACTTTTAAATACCTATGAGAACTATAAGTAATTCATCATCTTCCCATTTGATTTGAGGTTTATACAAAGTGATGACTTTCAGGCTTTCAGTAAAGTTTTGAATAATATGGTGTCATTTCTGCACCATTGGAGTTCAATCTACAAGAGGTTTATTTCATTTTGCAGCCAAATAACTCCTGGCTCCTTCTGATTTTGCATTCTTTTTAGGTATAAACAACATATAAAATGTTCATTTGGGCTATTAAATTGTCTTTAAACTTGCCACATTTTCTATTGTAAAAATGAATAATCACAATAATATTGCAAATTAATGTAATCAAGAGTACTAAAAGTTGAGAAGTACTATTATCAATACTATTAATGTGTGATAATGATGATGGTAAACATTTTCCTACATGATCGAGGTGAAGTGAAGCTAAATCTCCGGTAAGAAATCAAAATAATAATTAAAAAATAGTATTGAATGAACGTGTACAAGAAATTGAGTCAGTGAATAGTACAATATTCAAGATAAGAACAAATATTGGTACCTCATTAAAAGTAATAGAAACCTATAGTAGCTTCACAAAGTGCAAATTGAAAGTAGAAACTTGATATGACGAACTATTGAACAGAAGACTTGCTAAAACTCCTACAACAACCACAAATTGTAGAAATTAATACTGATGATGAAGTTTTGATAGATTATTAGTAATTCAAATACACCATTCAATTTGAATTGTCAATGCTTGAATATAGACATGAAGGCTTCATAATAATTGCAAATATTCATGATCACAACAGGCACCTAACATACAGAAATTAAAACTATTAAGAAAAATGTTTTAAACTACCATAACAGCTTCAAGTAGTAATGGAAAATACATCAATTGATAGCAAATAAAAGGCCAACATTAAAAAATTAAGAAAATATATTCTCCAAAATTAATTGTGTATATGTATAATATTATCAAAATTAAAATTTCAAGTTACATTTTCATTTGTTCTCTGCAATTTAGTCATATTTGTTAGAATAATTGTTCATAATTTAAATCACAATAATTTGTCCAAAACAATTTGCAGCTGTGTGAACCAAAAACACTCGAATGTTCTGAGAAACCTGAAATTTTATCACTTGTAATTATTACACCCGGAATATTAGATCTATTGCTTGAATAAATTGTTCTTCAAAAGAGCTTGTTGTACAGCGAGAATGTTGAAAGTTCCATATTGTGTTTTGCTCTGTATTCTTGGATGATATCCCCTTGGTTAGCTAAGTAATCTTTTATATTGTTTAGTCTGCTTTCCAGGTCAGCTGTCTTGTTTATCAGGTCAGGCAATACGTCTTTCATTTTTCTTTCACACAAGTAGCCGTCAATCTTGAGGTAACACTTCCTGTCACTGTTTTCGTTCATCAAAGTCTCGACGACAACTTTATGTTCCCTCAGCTTGGATTCCAACATTGCGAATTCTTTAGTTTTCTCTCTGTAGTCTTTCAATAGAATCTTGAATCCTTGCCTCACATCATTAGATGTTTTATTTTCAGATTGACGCTGCTGAGAAGTACTTTCCATTTCTACCGGGATAAATTTTGAGTTTTGAAGTCAAGAAATTGGTGCCGGTTCCTCCGGGATTTCTCTTTACCGTAGTTTTTCAGGTGTTTCTTGTCACGCTTCATGACGTCAGTAGCTCGTGGCCAAGGCCAGCTTTATTCTAATAATTGTTTGAAAATATTGTTTACTTCAGTACAGCTGGCCTTGCCCGTGGCTTGACATTTGAATGGGAAGGCGCCAGACCACAAAACAACTTTAAAATTATGACATATTCTGTGTTTATGAATACAATTTTCAAATAAACGTTTGATATTTTTATTATTTAATTTAAAGAGTAATACACATAATTACCGTTGATTATTTTCCATTAGTAATTTCAGTTAATATTCCTGCGTGTCAGTTAATTTTTACCGTGATATTTATGTTCATTTATACACTTTCAAATGCATCAAGATATCGTCGAATCGTGTTATGAATTTATTTTATTTTATTGCCCCTTTATTCTGCACAAACAATGAACAGAAATAAGACATTAGACTCCAACGAAAGAGGAACAAACTTGTACGAGAAATTCTTCTCTAGTTACGTAAAACAGTAGTATCTAATGTTGTTTCACTCGCAGATACTATATTCATTTTCCCTCGTGAAGGTACAATGGGCTCTTGTAACAAGATGGTGCGAAAACTGCATTTTCTCTTTCAATAAAATAATGAAAACGATGAATTTCTGCGGAACTTCCTTTTTTAATCACCGTTTTATACAAACCGTTGAAACATGTACAAAAATTTGTGAATTTATTTTGGAAAAAATCTATACACAATTTTGGTTACTTCAACTGGGGGGAATGCTTTCATTTCATCAATATGTCAAAATGTGCCCCTTAAAAAAAATTCTCAACGAAATTGTGTGAATTTGTGTGCATTAGAATATTCTGGCGGTCGCTGGGATATTTTCGGTCTTGACGCCCATTTAAAAACTTTCAGCGACAAAGTTTTGGATAAAATAATAAAATTATTTTCTGTCACCACCCGAAGGTCTTCGGATGCATTACTTCTGTGTATTTGGTATGTGTTTTGTGGACGAGCAGTGCGTGACGTGAGACGCGACGAAAAGATAAGGTACAAATGTAGGATGTGATCAGTTGAGCTGAAAATAAGTGCTTGTTTATGTCATCAGAAGAAGGGACCATCCAAATAAATACTCGAATGATGCGAGAAGCCCTTTCGAGAATTTTATCTTGTTGGATATTCTGGGCAGTCGATTTTTACTGATAGATGAGAGTGAAGACATGGATGTGCAGTGGTAAATAATAGTAAATTTAGATTTATTTAGTCAAAAAACTGTATGTGACTGTATGGGGGAGATTATCTACGCACGTTTTCTTGAGTTCCAGAATCTCTTCACATCCCCTTCTAACTACAAATACTTGAAAGATGAATAAAAGTGAAAGATAGATTAATAAATAAATAAATAAAATTTAAAAAGCGCGAGATTAGTAGTATTTGAAAAAAAAACTAGAGATTTTTGTTTCCGAGTTATAGAAAACTTATTTGCATCGGTAAACGAATTGCAGATATAAATTTTCTGAATTGCTAACAAAATATTAACTCACCCTTACCTCTACACCTACCGTTATAAGAAAAAGGAGATTTCACCAAAACGTGCGCATAATAAAGCTACATTTACGTCCAGAAGCAAAACAAAGGGCCAGCATTTGCTCAATGGATCAGAGAAACTGGACAAAAACCTGATCGAAATGCGAGTCATTAATCTGAAAGCTTAAGTACATAATTTGTAACAAGCATAAGAAGTTTTAAAAAAATACAATACAAATGTAAACTAATTCATTATATATCATTTTGCTGAAATAAACATTATTTTTCTATTAGCAAACTTACGTTTGTGTACCGACTTCAATTGTTTAATGTCATCCGGCAATGCGTTGTAATGTAACGTACATGTATATGGATCTCTGATAGTGAGCTGTTGATACTGACACTTTATGAATGTGATTTTTACGACGTGCGTAGTACTTACAAATATCAGTATTGAATGAAAATATCTTCACACAGTTAAGTAAGTATTACAGATTCGTAAACAAATAGGCAAGGCAGTAATAACGTTCCAAGCACAATGAAGAGTTCACTTAGATAGTATTTTTTCATTATTCGAGTAATTTTCTTTTGCAATGTAATGGTCTGGGTACTACATGATGAGCTTCCTCAGAATATTACACCATATCTCAGGCGGGAATGCACATTTGCCAATATACGCAACGAGTTGCATGAAGGCTGACAGAATTTGAAATAATTCTGAATACGTAACATAATGAACTTATTATAGTGTTTAATTCTGTTATATGTGCATTCCATTTGAAGTTCGACTGAATTGAGAGACCTAGATAATTTGTTACCTTAAATCAGCTAATTGCATATTGTTCATTTTTGTAATTCACACACATTTTTAATTCACATTTTTAATTCATTTGCACACCGCAAATGAATATTACTGTAACATTTGTGAGATATTCCACAGTTATTATTTTGGACCGGCCGGGAATCGAAGCCGAGGTTGCGCCGTGAAAAGTGAGCATGCTAGTCAACGAGTCACCGAGGGGCCTAATTAAAACTGACACGCACAATACAATATTAAATGCAAATTTAATATACACAATCGAACTCAACATTTACTAAAACGATTCCCAATGATTAATTAAATGTCAATTCTTGTTTTTAAACTTCTCTGTGATTGGTGAAGAACTTGCATTATAATGAAATATGTATCGTAACGAGTATCGTTATTTAACGGGTTGCCACCATCTAATGACATTATACAATGGGAGTAGAAAAACAATTTTCTTTTTTCAGTAGACACTTATATTAAGAAAGATAATAGTGATTTTGATGATGATGGAGCGAGCCGGCAAGCGAATGTGTCGTGTGGGAAACAACGCGCGGATTCTCCATAAGACTCATTCTGCCTTAACAACGTGAAAAGCAGTATAGATTGGCAGTACTGCACCTTAAGTGAAGTATGGTGGAATCCATGTAGCTAGGAATACGTGTATTCATAGCGCCATGGTGGAATACATCATGAAGTGAAGAAAGCGGGATAAGGTAAGATGGCGGCGCGCGCAACTCTTGACGTCTTATACGGGTAGCATACACAAATATAGACTTGCTAGATGGGGCAATTTTTTAGAGCAATATTATGGCTGTTATCATGTCCTGGATATTTTTGTTCCGAAGTTGTTTTATAATTTTTGTTAGTTCGGAAGGGTAAGACTACAATATTTTGTGATATATACCGTAGTCAGGGGTTAATAAAGAATTGATCTATTTATTATGTCCGGGGTGGGGTTTTGTATTGTTGAGTGTGAAGGTGATTTCGAAATAATTTGCAAGTTCTTCAGCTTTGGATTCAAAAGTTAGTGCATTGGCGCGCGCTGTATTTATAGGGAGAATCTTATTTTTATTTTAAAGAATTTTTCAATTAAACTGTCATACGATGATGTTACTTGTACTTAATGATTTTGTTATGTATTTATGTTACTGATTATTATTATTATTATTATTATTATTATTATTATTATTATTATTATTATTATTATTATCAACTTTGAGACGATGTTTCAGATTACATTTAACTATTTTTATCCACTTATCGCAGCTTAATTCAAAGCCTTCTGTTTTTCTTTTTAATTTATATTATATAGAATTGTTTTGGGCAAGTTTTTTCACACTTTCCTGCAGGATTGTTGAATAATTACACTTGTGATTGTCGAATCGCAATCTTGAGTATATTGGTTATTGTGAAGCATAATCTATTTGTAAGTTGCTATTTAATGTTTTTCATTTGGAAATATAATTGCTTATTATTTCGGAATATTTTTGCCACATCCCAGTTAGTGTGTTTCGCATTTAAATCTCCAAGAAGCAATACCTTCTCAGGGCTATTGAATAATAATTGTAAATTTGTGTTTATAATTTTAGTTTTGGGTAGTTTATAAGCTGCTGTTATTTTCCAAGTAGATTTGCTCGTTTCTCTCTCTTGCTATTGTTTCAAGTCCAGATGTGTCGAGGAGTAAAGTAACATTGTTTTTATTTCGTTTTTATTACAATTAGCACTCCGCCCTCTTTGTTTTCTGTTCTGTCCTGTAAGTACATACTGAAGTCTGGTGTGTATAGGTTGTTATTTTCAGTTTGGTGGGTTAGTTTAATGGTTGCTACGTCTACATTGTAGAGATGTAAGAACTGGATAAGTTCGGTTTTTCTTGTTATATATTACGTTAGCGTTTCAGTTGAGAATTATTAATTTATTAACTGTACTATTGGCCATAACTAATACGATATTGTGAGTCTGGATTTTGAAAATTTCTAATAATTGTTGTGATAAGTGAAATTATGAAATTACCAATTCATGAGGATGTGAAATTTATTATTGTTAGTATCGGGTTATTTTCTTGAGGATGAGGGTTGCCGAAATGGGGTGTTGTTTAGAAGTGGGGCAGGGTGGATGGATTTACGAGAGTTATGGAGGTGCGAGATGTGCGTATAATTAGCCAGTGGTTGAGTTTGAGGGTAATGATTAAGTAATTGAGTGTTGGAAGTAGGTTGAGTTATACGAAGGTTTACAGTTCTAGGCAGTTTATTCGAATTACTGCTGAATTTCTCTACAATTTCCTTGTAGAAGGGGCTGGCTGTGTTGATACCGGCGTTGTGTTGACCTTTGCAATTCACACTCACTGAAGGGCAATTTTTCGTATGTCATAACACTGAGTAATTATTTCTTGCGCAGAATGTTCAGAAGTTTATATGATTAAATATTTTCGATAGGTTCCGAGCTGTAGAATTCCACGACCACATCTGGGATATGGTTTCCTTCTTTTTGAAGTCTGGTTACCTTGAGCGCTGAGAAATGCATTTGTTTATGTTCCTGCAAGATTTCCGATTCGAAGATGGATTGGTGAAGGATTTTTAATAACAATGGGAATTTTGTGTGGCCGGGTCTTTGTAAGAGTG